ATACCTACCACAGAGTCTAGGGCTGAGAGAACAGAGGGAAGGGATTGGAATTAGTAAAATGTAATAATTTCGAGGCGGGGTCCTGCAGAAATGAAACAGGACTTCTGAGAGACACGGGCCAGCTGGAGCTGATGCCTCTGAGCTCTGGAGAAAGACTTCATGCCCCCGAGGAAAGGGCTGCAAGTCCCTTCTTCCTCCAACCATCCAGGCTTCCTTTATCACCTCCTGTTTACAGAATACAGCCTGCAGCCAGCTGGCAAAACCACGCTGTGGTTTGCAGAGTTCCAGCGCCAGCATGACAAAGCAGAGAAGGGGAGATTTGGAGCAAAGAGTCAGTAACCTAATAAGTAGCACATTTACCTTCCATTCTGACTTCAGCCAAATGGATCCATGGCTCTGCAAGAACCCAAGAGTCTCCCGGAATAGTTTTATTCCTTTGGTTTCACAGAGGGGAGGAACACAAGCTGGTCTTCCCTTTCTGGGTGCTGAACTGGACTGGAGAGATTTTACCCGAGAAGCAGAGATAACCCATACCAGCCAGGCTCACGCCCTCCCTGATGCATATTCTCCCCAAGGATCCTAAGGAGGGGAAAAAACCAGCCAGGCTTAATCCTTTATATTTTTCTTGCTCATCCGGTGGGTTTACAGAATAATAATGGTTCCTTTGGAGTGTTTCAGGAAGACCATCACATGTGCCTTGTGATCCATATTCTTTGATATCGTCTCTCTTAAGAGTCTCAGTTTTTCTATGAAGTTTTTATTGCCATGAATGGATTCTTTTTCATACTCTGTGCTATTTTTTTATTTTCCCTGTCTTCCCTCTCCTTCTCTACTTCCTCTTTAGCTCAGATCTGATTCTTGTCTAGGTGTTTCTACGGAATCCTCAGTAGTTCTTACGTTTTCTGCCTGTATGAAATGATTGAGCGAAAGAGACAACTGTTACCTTGGAGAAACCTCTGGGAGAGAAGTCCGCTCCTGACTTTTCTGAAGGCTGTATAAAAATCTATTCAAAAGTTAGAATCTCTAGGCTGCAGTTTTCTCTCCCATGAGATGAAGAAATTAGTGTAATTCCTAATATTGCTTGATTTTCTAACATGGTACAACTCTGGAACTTTGAGAGAGTTTTCAGGATTGGGGACTACTGGTCTAACAAATACTGTTCACATGGAAGGGAAAAAAAAAAAAAGATCTTTCACTTAGGCAAACCCCATAGAGAAAATGACCGTTGTTTAAGTAGTAAGACTCTTCTGGGTGCCTGGGTGGCTTAGTTGGTTGAGTGTCTGACTTCGGCTTAGGTCATGATCTCCCGGTTCGTGGGTTCGAGCCCCACATCGGACTCTGTGCTGACAGCTCAAAGCCTGGAGGCGCTTCGAATTCTGTCTCCCTCTTTCTCTCTGCTCTTCCCCTGCTTGTGTTCTCTCTCTCTCTCTCTCTCAAAAATAAATAAACTTAACAGCAAACAAGTAACAAGACTCTTCCACAATGAAGACTTTTTGTGACTCTCAAGATCTAATGATCCTGAGTTCTGAGATTACAGTGGACTTTTTATCCAGGGCAGAAATTTGAAATAGGTATGATAGTTGTCATCTCTTGACTTTTAAAGTGAAAAGAGGACAAACAATCTACATTGCCAATTACTACGGGTTTACTAACTGTGGAATTTATCTCTGGAGTTAAAAGTCCCTTGGGGCGCCTGGGTGGCTCAGTCGGTTAAGTGTCCAACTTTGGCTCAGGTCATGATCTCACGGTTTGTGAGTTCGAGCCCCGCGTCGGGCTCTTTGCTGACAGCTCAGAGCCTGGAGCCTGCTTCAGATTCTGTGTCTCCCTCTCTCTGTGCCCCTCTCCGACTCATGCTCTGTCTCTCTCTGTCTCGGAAATAAATAAACATTAAAAAAATTTTTAAAAAAAGTCCCTTACAAAAGGAGATGGAGTTGGAGGTGAAGGTTTTCTTGGGGCCAAAGTACAAGACATATCTCTATGTCAGCTTAGGGCTGAGGTCAGGGACAGAAGATTGAGACAATAAGCCTGGAAGCACTGTTTTGTGGAGCAATTAGGCAATTAGGCTGCAGCATCTGTCGTTCTATTGATCTCTTGGATTGATTCCATCTAGCCGGTGGGCCAGGCCAATGGCCCCTGACTACCTCACCTCTGTCAGTATATGATTTGGAGGGTATTCTGTGTAGAAGAGACCCTTTTTTTAGTGAAGCTTATTCATGTGTTAGCACCCCAGGTCCTCTTCAAGGAGAGCAGCAGTAATATACTTAGTGTTGTTTTCCCAAGAGAAATAGATGTGTCTCATAAATTTCAGTGATTCACTCGTCCATCCATCCATCCATCCATCTGTCCACACAGTGAATATTCAGTGAGCATCTATCCTAGACCAGGCACTGTGCAGGTGCTGGTGAATCAGTCCCGGACAAGCCAGATATGCCTCTGTCCTCACGGAGCTGAAAGCCTCTCCCATCTTAAATTTCTGATCCTCACTTGTTCTTCTTTTCCTCTCCTTCTACTTCTCAAGCCTCCAAGAGATTCAAGCATATTTTTTGTCATAATTGGAAGCTTTCTTTTTTCAACAGGTTAAAAATTACGTAGTACAAATCTTAGCGAAAACAGTCACAGGGGTTTGTTGACCGTGATGTACTTTAAATGCTTTTTTAAGGTCCCCTACTGGGATTTTTAGATTCCTTTGAGCGAAGCTTTTGCCCTATTGGAGTAGGTGGGCTTTGCTGGCCTTTTATGTGCACTGCAGTGTGCAGCTGCCTCCCTCACCCTCAGTACACTTGTTTCCTCTGTGAAATTTTCTTGTCTTTGAATTTCTTTTCTGTCATACTGCATAAGATGGAGACCGGAAATCATGGGAGAACTGCTTCATGTGACTTTATAACTCAAGAAAAAGGCAAGAGAGGAAATTGCTTTTAATAATAATGCTAATAATTATGAAGAACAATATTTATTATTAAGCACCAGGCAGTTTGTCTAGCATTTCTAGTGAGGTATGTATTCAGTTTCCCAGAACAATATCTTCTTTATTGAAAGCTGCTAAAAGAATCTGCAAATTGCGAGGGCTGCGGCGTGCATATTTGACTCATTGTTCCTTTAACCCATTTTTTTCCTTGATTAATACCTTACAAGTCACTCTGGATCAACCTCAAATTCTTTCAAAGACTTAAAGCTATTTTTATAATGTAAGACATCTATAGCTTCTTTTTCAAGTTCAGTATTTGGCGATGTTCTGGCATAAGCCTTCCAGAAACGTATTGTCATTTCAAAGTGGCCCTTTTCAGAGCCTTGGCTGCTGCAGAAATTCAGCTTCTTATGAACCCTTTAAATGAATAACACTTATTGCTAGCCATTTGCTAGTTAAAAAACATCTATGTGATAAACCTCAAGGATGCCAGGTGCTGGTATGTGGATTTTAAACATACCATAGTGTGCTATGCTTTAAAAATACCACAGAGTTCAGAATCTAATTCAGTGGGTAGAAATCTCTACTTCAAAAATGGCTCTTTTCATGATTAGCTTTTGCGATTGTATTTTATGGTATCACAGAAGCCTCTTGAAATATCAGATCTCTTTACTGGGGCTTCAAACATGAATCGTGTGTTGAGGTGTAGGCCTTTCTAGATGTCCTAAGATACTACCTTTCCTTAAAAGGGCCTCCTATGCCTATAATTGAGGCAGCTGCAGAGTGGGGTTAGGCAGTCCCTTTAGAAATCTCATTCCAGAGTAGTATATCTATATTCTTTTTCTTAAATTTCTACAACAAATATATACTTCTGTTAGATGAGCGTAGTTCTGAAATTGGGCCACTACCCTTTACCCAATCAGGCAATCTTAGGACTCTTAAACTGTGTGTGTGTGTGTGTGTGTGTGTGTGTGTGTGTGTGTGTGTGTAGTATGTGGTATGTGTGTGTGCACGTATTCTGGGAATTTTCAAACACACACAAAAGTAGATAGACCAAAATGACCTTCTATGTTACTATATTTTTACTCATTATCAACATTTTGCTAATCTTGTTTCATCTATTAACCCATTTTTTTCTTAGGGCATTTAAACTAAGTTCCAGATGTATTTTTTACCCATAAATACGTAAGCGCATTTCCTAGATTTTTTTTTAATTTAAAACAAATTTTTTTTAATGTTTATATATTTTTGAGAGAGAGGCAGAGCGTGAGCAGATGAGAGGCAGAGAGAGAGGGAGACACAGAATCTGAAACAGGCTCCGGGCTCTGGACTGTTAGCACAGAGCCTGACGCAGGGCTTGAACCCATGAACCAACTGTGAGATCATGACCTGAGCCGAAGTCGGACACTTAACTGACTGAGCCACCCAGGCGCCCCGTTTTTAACGTTAAAAATTTGAGATAAAAAAATGTTAAGTGTATTTTTATTTTTGTTTTGTGTCTGAAATTAGCATTGTTCCATTCCAACTGGCTTTGTTCCATGTTGATAAGTTCAGTTTTCCTAGGTTCACTTTTGTGTCTCCTTAAACTGCCACCAAAACTACTTTGTTCTTGTCACAGCCAGCAGTTGTATAGTGGTCCCTTTATAAACACTGCATGGCAACTGCATAGTTTATGTGTATGCATAAGTGATTTTAAACCTTTCTCTCATTGACTATTTCTCTTTCTTGGTAATCAGATCATTAGTTGTAAGATTCTTACTTTAGGCATGAATCATCCCTTTCCTATTACAAGCTCTGTGACTTATGAGGGAACAGAGTGGGTATGTTGAGTATAGATTAGTAAAAGAAAACTGGATCGTTTGGATAGACCAAGGCAAGCATGATTTGGATTTTATTGGAGTTAAGAATTCTTCCCCTTCACAATGTAGGCCCATGTGTGTTTGCGCTCAGAAACCAGGATAAGGTGGCTAGCTTTAAAAACATAAATACAAGAGTAAGGACATTTTTTATAGTTTCTGCTTTACTTCTATTGCTTATATGCTCAAACCCTTCATAATACCATTGGCCCTGATTCAGTGACTGATGCTCTTTCCAGCGGAACTCCCCCCTCCATATACAGCCATCGCCAGTCCTGATGCCACTGGTATTCCAGTAATTAACTGCCGCGTGTGCCAGTCTCTCATCAACTTGGATGGCAAGCTTCACCAGCATGTGGTTAAGTGCACAGTTTGCAATGAAGCTACGGTAAGTGGGGGTTTCCATTAATAAAGCATAAATTATTGTCTGACATCTTCTGTCTAAAGGAAGTACTCCACTAAGGTTACTTAAAGGTAGACGTGCACTGGATAGAGATACAACCATATTTTCTCATCCTTTCTTTCTTCTCTCTACTCCTCTTTTATCATACAAAGATGTGCCCAGGTATTTAAGGTTAATTCCATTATGAAAATTTCATGGTGAATTTAAGCATAATGCCATCTGGCTCTTTACTTTCTAACATGAGACTGACCCTCTACAGATGTTTACAATTGTCCTCAGTGTCTATCCACGTCACAACTAAATCCATTTTGATTTTCAAAAAAATGAGGAGATATATATATATATATATATATATATATATATATACACACACATACATACACCAAGGTTCACTTCACATGTGGACTTTGTACTTACTATGTGGAAAATTATTTAAATTTGCTCTATGTCTATAGGATGTTTGTATGGTTTTTCTGGGTTTAAGATTATGCATGTAGTATCAATATCTGTGCCAAAGTGTTTATAAATAGCTTGATATTTTATTCTACTTGCTTGATAGTAATTTAGTGAAACGTTCAAAAAACTTGAAGGGTATATTGTTTGTTTTTTTTTTAAATGAACCTTGAGAAAGGCAACTAACTTTTAAGTACAATTTTGAAACTTTCAAGTAATGAACTGACAAAGTGTATACTGGTTAGATTAAATAGATTCCTACTTTCATGGTTAGGCTTTATTTTTAAAATTTCAATCTTTGTTGGGATGAGCCCTGGGTGTTGTATGGAATCCAATTTGACAATAAGTTATACTAAAAAATAAAATTTCAATCTCTCTCAAAGTTTGCAATTAAATATTAATTTAATTGTTGGTACTTGCATATTTTTCCTTTTTAGAAAAGTCTGAAAAAAAGTCAGCCAGAGATTACCGTGTCTCTGTAAACCATAAAACACGCACGCTGGGCATTATGTGTTTTATAGAAAAGTCATAAAATAAAACCTTAAGGCTTGAAGCAATATGTTTCATTGTAAATATATATTTTCATAAGGGACATCATTTGGGGATAAACTTTATTGTGTAAATAGAGGTGATGCCTACAAAACCTGCTATTTCCTTTTTAAGTTAAACACCCATTAACAAACTTAGCCATCAGCCTCATTCGTGCTGCTTTTAGAGTTAGCAACCAAATTAAGAGTTGTTAGACATAGATGGCAATTAAAAAAAAATACCAGTACCTTAAAGATTTCTTTGGATTCGATGTTCCTGTTGATTTCTTTCTCCTATGCCACCACTGACACAAACTTTTGTTCTTTAATGAGTAGAAAAAAAGTTTTAGAGCTTTATATTTACCCTTGGAAGTAAACAGAGCAGACTATGGGTTTCGTCAACAGCCTCAGTCTGGCTACTTAGAAGTGAGGAGTTCATGATACCAGAACAGTAGGATTTGGGTACAAATAAACTACTTCTGGACATAAGGAAAATCGTGCTGACATTTTTGTATCATTATTGCTCCTGTTAAGTAATGTAAATAATTGTCAGTATCCTGGAGAAAATGAGTAGTATCTAATTAGATTGCCTTGTGTGGAGTCAGTCATACTACAGGGGAGGAAAAGGAGGGGAAAGTGTGTGTGAGGAGTGCTTTAAGAGATGACTTCCCAATGTTGGCAATGTAACTTGATCTTAAATTTATGAATGAAGAGGTATTAGGCAGCCAGCAGCTTCTCTGGAGAAATTCTAGGTTAAAAAGAACGGACAAACGGACCAGAGTCCAACAGAGCCACTCCTTCTATTCACTGTCACTATCCCCTGCTCAGTTTCACTGTGGTTCATTCTCCTCATGTCACCTAAAACAGGGTATCAGTGTGTCTGTTCTCCTGGGCAGCCACCTCTGATAGGAACCTGATATTCCTGAGGAGATTCAAAAAATGAAACAACAAAACAAAACCAGGCTAACATAAGTCCTTCTTTCGGTAGCTAGAATTGGGAAAGGAAGTAAAAAGTGGGAGGAGAGAAAATATGGACAAATTTTAACAAGACTTAGAGACTACAGAATTTAAAGCTAAGGGAGAAGCAATTTCTAGGGCAAGGTAATGGAAAAGTTGAGAAGTCCTGGAGGAAGAGCGGAACTAATTGGCTGAGTGATTGATTAAGGAGTGTGAGATCTGGAGGCTGACGGACTAGAGGGACTGGGGTTTGAATCCTAGCTCTGCCACTTGAGAGCTATCTATCCTTGGGATTTATCTTTTCCACACTGTGGTTTCCTCATGTAGAGTGGTAAAATAATAATACTTACCTAATAGGGTTGCTCTTGGGATTACAGAGGCAAAGTGCCCAGCACTGCATCTGGCACATACAAGTTCATTTTGCTAAGTAAGAATTCTAAAACTTATGCACCAGGACAGTGTCACCCCCGTGTCCCCGTGACAAGCCACAAGCTGGCACTAAGGACTAGTGCTTAAAATTGTCTAATTCAGTTGCCTTGTTTTGTAAACGAGGGAACTGGGGTCTACAGGTAAGGTGGGAATAAAATATAAAAAAACCTGGTAGGGGCCTTTGGGTGGCTCAGTCAGTTAAGTGGCCAACTTCAGCTCAGGTCATGATCTTGCGGTCCTTGAGTTCGAGCCCTGCATTGGGTTCTATGCTGTCGTGACAGCTCAGAGCCTGGAACCTGCTTCAGATCTCCCTCTCTCTGTGTCTCCCCCTCTCTCTGCTCCTCCTTTGTTCATGCTCTATCTCTCTCTCTCAAAAAATAAACATTAAAAAAATTTTAAGAAAAACTTGTCATTTGCCAAGTACATGTTTATTTAATGGTAGAATTTGGATGTATAGATAAATTAACCCAAGTTCTGGTTTTCTTGATATTTAAATTTTTTTAATGTTTATTTATTATTGAGAAACAGAGAGAGACAGAACATGAGCATGGGGAGGGGCAGAGACAAGGGGAGACACAGAATCGGAAGCAGGCTCCAGGTTCTGAGCTGTCAGCGCAGAGCCTGACGTGGGGCTCGAACTCACAAACCATGAGATTATGACCTGAGCTGAATTTGGATGCTTAACTGACTGAACCACCCAGGCACCCCTGGTTTTCTTGATATTTTAGATTGAATAGTAACACATTCTGGATGTTTATAACTTTGGGATATTCAGATTTTCAGATTTTATCTGTAATATAGCTTAATAAATTATTGATGACTTATTGTTAATTTTTATATATTTCTAACAAGGTTGTTTCCTTAAATTTTTAAATCTTTTTTTGAAATGTCACAGATTTGAAATTATGTTACAAAAATAATAGTACATATTATGTACAGAGAATTCCCACACATTCTGTACCCACATTCCCCAAATGTGTTAATATTTTGTCACATTCACTTTCTCTCTTTAAATAAATAATCTTTTCTTTCTTTCTTTCTTTCTTTCTTTCTTTCTTTCTTTCTTTCTTTCTTTCTTT